CGGGGGGAACCACATCCGCGTCCACACAGTACGGACAAGGAAAGTGGGTGACATGGGGACGCACAAACAGTGGCTGAAAAGTGGACTTCCTTCAAAAAACACTCGCGGCAAATATTTTTTTTGGTAAAGGTGGTGGTGGTGGTCAATGTAGGTCCCATTAAAAAACACAGAAAATGTTTTATGTTTATATTATTTTATTTAATGATATCCATATGTTAAATACTAAGTCAATTTTAACAGTATATGTGAAAAACTATTTGCACGCGTTGTTTAATTAATGGTAATTATGACGAATTTGTATAAATTTAACACAAGTTTAATATTAAAATTCAATTCAAAACATTGAAACATAAAACTCAATTTTCTAAAATGTTAGTGACAAAAGAGTTGCATTATAACATTTCATATTATTGTGAATGATCATTTCAATGATTTATTAAAGAATTGCGAAATTAAAAAAAGTAGTCACTAATTAAACCGTGTTTTCTTGACACGAATACAAACTTTTTAACTATAATTAATTATGTAAATATTCATTGAAACATTAAATTATAAATTTGAAAAAAAATATTATTTAAAAAGGTGATATTAAATAGTGTTAAAGTGAATTTATCGATGTTATTATTATTAAATAATTATTGTTTTATTTCATAATAAACTTCAGCTCCATTTTCCAAAAACAAAACACGCCTATTTTTAATATTTTTGGTTGAATGTTAAAAATACAATTTTAATTGTTTTACAAATAAATAAACAATAAACATTTAATAAATAAACATCAATAAAAACTTCCAAGTTCAATTTTCCAATGCAAATATCACAAATCGATCGACTTTAATTTGTCCATACCGATTTTCACTACCTAACACATTAACTCTTTTTTCTCCATATTCAAAGGACTTCCCGTTATATTCGCAAGCCAAACAATTTTTGGTTTTTTTTCTGTATAATTTCAAGTCTCCTTTTCCGACTTCGAAAAATTTAGTGCTGTTATGCCTACCCATAGTGAACGCAAATTCTTTATCCTCTTCTTTTATACTAAATTTCCTTCTTTTCTTTATTCCATTTTCTCTCAAAACAAAAACAAAGCAATTACTATCGGCAACACAGTCTCCGTATATTTGAACGGGCTTTGTTACAACAACACCAAAGAGGTATTCTCCGCATAAAATTGCTATTAAAAACCCTTTCACTGAATTAATAGCATTGAAGTATCTCCCCGAACACCCGTGCAAACGCGTCGCCGAATAATCAAAAATAACTTTCCCCACACTCCTCTGACTCCAAGCAAAGATTTGGGCCTTTTCTTCACAATTCAAAAAATCGAGTGAGTTAACTTCTTCGTCGTTCTTTCCGGACTTGTCCACTGTTGCGTTTTCTTCGTCTTTATTGAGTGGAATGACGTCATTACTCCAACTCAAATCCATCGAAGAATCTTCGGCAAATTGTGTGATTATTGGCGTTTTGTTGTCATTTGTGACTTTCTCTGATTTTTCTTGTAAAATTTGTTGTTCTTTTTTTGAGTGTTTGTTTGGAGTAATACATTCGCTCTTGTTATCGTCTTTGAATTTGGCTTTGTCGTTTATTGAAACGTCCTTTTCGTTTTGTGTTTATGGAGATTCATCGTTTTTTGAAATGTTTTTATCGACAACTTCGATTTTTTCTTCGACTTTTTCTTGTGAATTTTCAATGGAATTTAAAACATTCGATTTTTCTCTTTTTTCTTCGACGCAAAATTTCGATTTGTGTGATTTTTGTTTTTGTGGCAGTTCAATTTTTATTTTGTCGAAAAAGTCGGCGTGGTCACTTTTTTCGAGTTTTTGTGAATTGTCGCTTTTGGTTGTTTTTTTATGATGGTCTGAAAGTTGAATATCTCGATTTATAACACTAAAGTCGACTTCGCCGACTGTTTCACAGTTGTCTGACGTGTCAGAACTATTTTCAAAAATAGAAGATTGTGGGGTTTTTTGCATTTTGAGTTTCAGTTGGTACGCTTTTTCGTTATACACGTCTTTGATTTGCGCTTTTCTCAATGTGTTTGTTGCAAGCTCTTCGTCACATCGTAATTTCTCTTTTTGAATTAAAGTCGTGAGTGTAGTGTTTCGATCTTTAAAAATTTCTTTTAAGTCTGTTGTGCACTTTTTGCCAACAACTTTAAGTATTTCCAAAAAGTCTGAAAAGAAAGCAAAAGTGCGATTTATTTCTCTTAAAAAATTTGAACAGTTTGTTTCATAGAAATCCTCTGTTTCAAGTGTTTCATATAAAACTTGAATGGAGTCTTTGAGGGTTAAATTGTCAAAAGTTGGGATTGTAGGTTTTGAAATTGAATTATATGTATCTATTTTTGATACTAAAGTTGTAAGACAGCTTGTAGCACTATCAATGTTACTTTTGAGAGTGGAATATTCATCGAAAGTGTGTGTATCCGTCATGATGGCAACTTTTAAAATTTTTATTAATTAACAAATTTGTGTTTTGTAGTTTAAAAAAACTTAACCCTTTTTTCCTTTTTTTTAAAATGAAATTTGTAAATATGAAAAAATTAAATCAAATAAAAAATTTCAATGTTTCATAATTTATGAAAACCACTACCTTGTTGCAGTAAATATTAAGTCTAAAAAACTATAAATAAAATAAAAACAGCATTATTTATCAGTATTATCCAGGGTTTTTTGAACAATGAGACTGACTCTGTATTTTTGTCTTTTTTTATTAAATGTATAAAAAACAAAAAAATAATAAATTTTAAAAATTTAAATTTTATTTTAAATTAATAATTATGAAACATGTTAGATCATATCAATTAAATAAAAAGAGGGTTAAATCGTTTTTAATTAAATTTTGTTTGAAAAATTGCATTTTAGTTATAAAAATTGAACGAACTTTAAAATTGAGCAACTTTGATACATAAATTTAAAAATGACTGAAATTGATGTGTATTTGGCACTAAAGAATGTACCAAACGTCAATTCATATTTTGAATCACTTAATAAGTCTCTTGACGAACATTTAATTACGCCACAACCAACACTTCCATTAGACTTGTCCACTTTAGACTTCGAAACATCAATTCAAAAATTGAATGAATTTTTAACATTAGAAGAAATTTGTGAAGAGAATTGTCTCACGTTTTCAAAGTCAATTAAAAGAGTTTTAGCAGTACTTTCTGATGTGACTTCTCTTTGTAAATTGGTTAAAGCGAAATGTGAAGAAGACGGTAAACACATCGTTACAGCAAGAAATACCGCAATTCAAATGGTTATTGAAAAAGAGAAATCACGATGTGACAAAGAGCTTGCAACAAACACGTTAAGAAAAGCACAAATCAAAGTTGATTTTGAAGACAAAGTGAGTGAACTTACACAAAAAATGAAAAATTCCATTTTTCCTTTAAATTTTGATTATATGAATTTTTTTGATAAAATCGAACCACCAAAAATTGTCGTCAATCACAACATAGTCGAAAATTTAATACCAACTGTAATAACAGCAGAAAATTCTTTAAAAGTCGATCAACTTGAAAACCTTGAAAATGACGTTCAACAACCAAAATTGCTAAAGGTCTTTAAATCAACACAAACAGAAGATTGTAACACAAAAGTTATAAATTTGGAACACACAGAACACGTCACAAAAAATACAAATTTATTCCCTTCAAAAAATTTCAATCAAAGTGAAACAATCGACAAACAAAACGATATGAACAAGCAAAAAAATACTCACGACAATTTATCGGATAAAAACACGTTGAAAAATAAAGACGAAGACAAACACGAAAAAAAGACTTTAGTATTAAAAAAAGTGAACACCGACCCAATAAATAACGGATTAAAATTACATAGTGAATCCGACGAAATTTCCGATATGTTGCATGAAAACTTTTCTCAATCCGTTCCCCAAACAACAAGTGACGCTTTTAAACCTTCCAACAAAGAAAACACCGAAAAAATGAAAAAATCCGAATTTTCACTCACTGAGGAAGATTTAATCGACGACTTGGACTTTCTTCCTTCAAATCCGTTTGTTCCCACCGAAGATTCCAAAGACTCCAAAGAGAAAACTTTGTCGGAGATTTCGAAAAAGCATCCAGAATCTTCTAAAAGTTCGAAAGAGTCGCGAGAAGACACCGAAGTGATGGGCGGGCAATTACCACGTGTGAAGGATAAGAAGTGTTACATCAGTCCGGGTGTGCTGACGATGGAAGACAAAGCACAGATCTTTGCGTGGAGTCGGCGAAGTGTGGGAAGAGTGTTATTTGACTATGCGAGCGATCTTCCTAAAAGAACGCCAAAAGCGCTTGTGGAGAACTTGAAAGGTGTAAGGGGGTTTGTTATAGTCATTTACTCGCAAGACGCTAATAACGTGTTTGGCGTCGTCGTGACTAAACCCGCTGAAAAACCGGGATTTTTTGTGAGAGACGAAAAGTGCTGCATTTTCTCATTGAAGCGGGAAGGAATCGTTAAAAGAAAAAAATTTGAGATTTTGAGTGACTGCGCAAACTTCGCATTTCTTGTTGGGAAAGAGAGAAGCACTAAGTTCTTCGATGTCGGAAAAGGAGATATCAAAATTTGGAGAAATAAAGAGGAGAAGTTGATTTCGGCAAGTAAAAGGCGGTCATTTGAATATGGAAAAGAAAGTAAGACAGTCACTGGAAAGAATGAATTGTATGAAATAGAAATTCAGGGATTCACTGTTTTTGAACTTGAAAAGGAGTGATTGGTAGAGTTGTGTTATGTGATTATGTTTAATAATAAAACAAATAATATAGAAAAACCTCTCATTAAGAGGACTCCCCATTAAGAGAATCCTCTCATTAAGAGACGTTTTAACCAATCTAAATAAAAAACATTTATTGAGGGGAAAGGAAAATAAAAATTTCATAACCACTATTGGGGGTACTATTTTCCCGTTTAATCTACTAATGAGAGGTTTTACTGTAATCGTTTTTAGTTAAATCTCGAATAAAATAAAAGAAATTGAAATTACCAAATTATTGTAAGTAGGTTGATGCATTTTTTATATAATTTAGGTTTCAAACGTATCATTTTGAGAATCATTTACTTCACTTTCAACATCTTTGATTTTACCCGCCCATCTCGAGTATATGTCGAAGCAAAATTTTTTATCCCCAAAATTTAGTTCGAAAGGTTGGAAAGAAGTAACAGAAATTGCACCATATACATTTTCGAATTCAACATGTTGCGAATACACCAACTCACCATTTATTGTGTAAAACATTTTTAAAGTTGTTGGGTAAAACCCACACCCTATGATGACTTCGTGATTTTCAATTTTTCCATATGATAAGAGTTGTTTCACACTTTCCCCACTCGAATTGTACACTTTTCCATCATCTGAGCAATATCCCACACTTCCTTCATCTAATCCAAGATGACTCTATTTATTATATATGTTATAAATAATAATAATATTATTAGGTATAATAATGAACCTTACTTATGCAAAGTTGTGATTAATAGATAAATCGTTAAATAAACGTAATTTTAAATTAAATTTATTTATTTGTTTAAAGAATTTCGATCTATATATCCACATTTTGGTAAAACATAATTAGTATCAATTAATAGAACAAACATTATTGCAATTATCAAAAAATGAAATATCACAAATGCCGATAGACATGAGAACTTTGTAATTAACAATAATTTCAAAATAAAAAATTGGAATAATACATTTTTCTGATATATCATTGTGGAAAAACAACGAATTATCCGTTGTTTTAAGATCAGTCCAACATAAACTCGAACAAATATAACTCACTTTCCACATATCCAAATTTTCTTTTACTCTTTGAATCGTATTGTTTACAATTTGAATGTCTGAACTCATATTCATCATATACCCCATAGCTTTATGTAAATTTTTACTTTTATCATGTACTTTATATTGAATTAAGTATGACCATATATTATTAAAACGCTGTTTTATGTACATTTAAACAACGTTTTAATGTTTGTTTATATATAATATTAATATATATAACATACAACTTGAATAAGTATATTAAAAAACACCAATCATACATTATTAAACATTTTTCTTTTTAAATTAAAAAGGATAAATAAAATAATTTATGTTTTAATGTGTCAATTATTCTATAAAAATGTATGTGTAATTAACCTTATTAGATTTGTTGAATAACATATAATATTAAGATATATATAACAAACACAAATAATCATTTGGCTCATCCAAATTGGCTATTTTTGGGAGTAATGTAGAAGGGAAGTGTATTGAAGTACTTTCAAGTCGTTTAAAATTTGCAATATCAATTCCACAGAATTCAAACGGGGATATTTTGTTTTGAATATAATCTTTATTTTCATAAAAAAATAAATTGTGACAATTATTGATAACAACATTTTTGTTGAAAAAAGATACACTTTCAAATGCACAATTATTTGAATCAATGATCCCAAAATATTTTATGTCTGTTATTTTTACGTAAATATCAATGTCCTTTGAATTTTTTATTATTAACTCATCTAAACTCGAGTCTTCACTTTCCAATTCAAAATCAATGCAATTTACAAAAGCGACACTTTTCAATAATTTTGCGTTTTTCAATTCAATTCTAAAAATACAACAATTCGAGAAAACAAAATTTTGAAGATTATCAAAACAGTTTTTTAATTCGACCATATTCGAATTATTTATTTCAAAAATTTCGACGTATTGAAAATTTGCATTTAAACATATAAAATCCGTTTCTTGATTATTATTTAACCGAATGGAAATCTTTTCAACACAATTTGGAATCTCCCAGAGACTCTGTTTTTCTTCTTCAAATGTTTCTTTGAGTGTTCCACTATTTAAAAAAGTCACTAAAATTTCTTTGCAGTACGTTTGAGTGATTAATGTGTTGTATTTCTGGCAATCAAGTGTGTTGTCTATATAAATACCCTGCTCGTCGACATAGAGTTTATCAGATAAGTAATTACATTGATTTTTGACAATAGAAGTGTAGTAATAGTTAATACCATTAAAGACTTCCAAACTCTTTTTATTGATTCTGTGTTCGTTGGCCATAAACACTATTTCAGTGAACCCGTTTTGTGGGACGTATTTCTTTAATTTGGTGATGAGCTTAAGTTCTGCGTCTTCGTATAAATTGGGATCCGAATCAATTTCAATTATATATGGAAAGTGGACGTTTAATTCAGTGCCGTTCGAAGTGTATAACTTAAAAAATTCGACAACTGGTTTTAAGTCTCCACGGACTTTTCTTAAAGAATTAAAATGTTTGGCATTGTCCATAAAAAATTTGCAAGTTGGTTCGTATTTATCATTTTCAATATACAAACCGATATAATAAATTTTACTCAAAATTTGTCGTATTTCATCTTTTTTCGTCTTTACAAAAGAATTGAAATTGGGACATCGGATGTTTTTAACGGATGAAAATATTTGCAGATCAAAAAAGTCGAAATAAAAACAGTTCACAGTTTCGGGGTGGAAATGACGAAAAAATGATCGAATGTTGTCGACAGAAATATACCACGGGTTTATGTGTAACATTTTTAAGGATTCAAGACATCGTTTTGACACCAATAGAAACGTGTAAGTATCTGTATATGTATTAAGATTGAGAGCTATTTTCATTAAATAAAAGGGCTCAAGACGTATCATTATTATTATTATTTTTAAAGATGTGTGTTGTTAATCAAGTTTACATTTTTAATACATGGTAGTGAATAGTTATTAAAAGTTATTCTATAATCGTCGTTTTTCAATTTTAAATATCATGTTTTTGATCAACAAAAACCATTTTATTAAATTTTAATTAAAACTATGTTTTTAGATGAAAATAAGTATAATATATCAGAAAAATTAGTTAAACACAATATAATTATTATTTCTTTTTTTTTTACCATTTATGAGTTTATATTTAATTCCCATTTTTTAGACAAGTAGTTTGGCGTTTTTTTTTGCAAAAAAACGTTTAAAATAATGACTTAAGTTTAAAAACTATTTTTTTGAAATAAAATCAATACATCACAAAAATAGTATCTCTAAGAAATAAATTTTTTCAAAAGTGAACAATTTAAATCAATTAATAACATCATTGGAAATAATTATTTTACATTATTTAACATATTATTTAACATAAATTATAATGTATTTAACTGGATATGTCATTTTAATTGTAAGTTTTTTATGCAAATCGAAATACCATTTCCATTTGTTTTTTTATTTTAATTTTAATTAATGTAATACATATGTTAAAAATAACATATATTATGTGACATATTCTATTTGATCGTTTTAGTAATACTTTATGTAATGTAATCAGGGTTTTTCAAGTTCCAGTTTTTTGTTTAAGACGTGGCAAAAAATAAAAAATATCACATAAAACTTATCTTTTTCAGTTAAAAAATTTAAACCAATTCATTTTCAATTACAAATCAAAATGGTAAACACGTGGCTGAAAAATATAAAACGACACTTAAATCAAAATTATTTGACTTTTAACCTTAACTATTCTAGTCAAAGTTTTTCAAGCCATAATAAATTTTATTTCAATAAAAATAAAAACAATAAAGTCACTGTAACATTATAATCTGTTTTAAAGTTGCGTTTTTTAAATAATGTGATTAATGTTACAACTCAAACTATATGAATAAAAATTTTAACAACGAATTCATAATTTATTTAAAAAATCAAAATTAAACACTTTATTATTTAAAAAACAATATCAGATGACTTTTTGAATATATAACCTTAATAAATCAATTCTTTGCATGATCAAATCGAGTTTTTTGGAAACCGTTATTCTTAGCTTATTTGCTAAAAACACGTGGAAAGTATCCGGATTATATTTGGAATATAAAAAATGTTCAGTTATTTTCTTGTTTTTTAAATTTTAAACGATTATTTGTGTATTTATTTTATTTACGCAAAAGTGGCAACTGTGACAATTATTAAGAACAAATTCATGTTTGTCAAATAATCACATTTCAACAACAAATAATACAAAAGGTTTTATATTTAACAACGATTGTTGTACTCAAAAATCATTTAACAACGACACGTTTCTTTTTCGATTAAGATAATAAGTTTGTAACAACACATTTGTTGAAAGTGTATTGATTCAAAGATTGTCTAAATATTATTTGTAAATATCAATAAAAACATTGATTAACATATGAAACTTATCAAGAATATCAACACGATGAAAAAGTTGAATTATATGTTTACTTTTCGAAATATTATTTAAAAAGATATTATATCAAATCATTACAATCGGTTGTTAAAAAATATAGAGTGTTTATAATAAATGTAGTGTTATTTAGTCTCTTTACAACGTTGATATTGTAACTAAAATAAATACACCCACTTAACAATATCTTAAATGGTTTGAAAAATAAGTCTTAAATGTCGTTTTGTTTTTTAGAAAATAAAAAAATGAAGAAACAAAGGTATTTTGCCTTTTTTCTATTTTTCGGCATAAACACAATATCTTTTACAAGTTTGTTGAATTTTTAGTTTTTTTTGAAAACCATCCTGGTTTGGTGGACCCCGAATGTAATTCGAATTTTAATCGATAATATGTAAAAAATAAAATGTTATTTATGAGTATTATCAATAATATTTTAATCAAAAATTTAAACATTTAATTTATAAAAAATTATATTTTCAATTAAAAGTTTATATTTTAATATAATAAAGGGATTCATGAGGATTGTTAATTTTTCTGAGGATGGTAAATATCTTAAACATAATTTCTTTCAATTTAGATTTTTTTGCCTAAGATCAAAAAGGTGTATTTTGAAACACGTGATTTTCTTTAAAAATGCTATTTATGAATTTTTTGAAAGATGATTCTTTCGGTTGATTTTTACAAAAAAATAATCTATTTCTATTTTTTGATTTACCACAAGACTAACCTTGGTTTATATGAAAACATTTAATTTAATTTAATTTATCGAAAAAGTCGATTTTTTAATCAAAATCACAAAACAAATTAATCTAACAATTTTTAATCTTTTTCACAAAAAAATGCAATTTATTAAAAATCAATTCATGATATTTCAAACAATAAAAATTGATAGCAAATAACGTATTAATAACGTATACTCTATGCGATGACAATTTATGTATTTGCGCAAATTCAAAACGCGAGGTTTTGAAGATCGATAAAACAACGATTGATAAATTAAAAAATAAATAAACAAATTTGTAAAATCATTCTTGTTTTAAACGGTTTTATTTATTTTTATAAACATATACACTCAAGAAATATATGTTTATATTATTTTTTATTATACAATATTAATTTTCAATAAAAATGTGTTCAATTTATTAATCAATTTTATATATTATTTGGCGTTTTTGTTGTGTTTTGACGATTTTTGATATAATCAATTAACAAAAACCCACTTTATAAAAATTCTTTGATAATTTTATTTATAGAATTATAAATCAGAAGTGGCAGTGCTATAAATATATCTGAGGATGGTAAGTCGTGTAACAAACAGACATTATCAACACAGACTTAAACATCTAAGAAGTGAAATGACGTGTTCCCATATTCAAAAATATTAACTTACTCAATATACATTTCAGACAAATGTAAAAGTGTAAACTTTCTATTTCTGTCATCCTCAGAAAACAACTGCCATCCTCAGAACTGTAAATCTGTTTAAAACATAAGTTAATATCAAAATGAAACATTCTTTTTAAAATATAAACAACATGATTAACTTTGTTATTACAATAAATTTGAATAATTGCATAAATTTCAAAATTATTAATAAATTTGTTTTTTTAAAATTGCATTTTTATTAAATCAGTGTTTTCGACTTTTTCAATTTTCATTTTGATAAAAACAATTATCATTTTAAACGTAAATTCAATAAGTATATAATCATAATATGAACAAGTTTAATTCATGTTTTGTTATTTCCCGTCTCAAGTTCGCGAGATATAATTATTGTTTTTGTTTACTGATTATCGTAACTTTTTTCGATTGTTTTTAATTATTTGGCATTTATGACAAATTATTACCATTATTTAAAATTCGAACTTTGACTCGAAATATTAAGTGTAAATTATAACTTGAATTAATGAGAGTTGGCCTTATGGGGAACTGAACCTTATGGATTTGTTTTTTGTATCCTCAGAAAAATAATTTTAATAAGGATAGTTTTAATCCTGAGGATACACCTTATCCTCAAGAAACCCTTAAAATATGCTTCTTTTTCACTCAATTGTAAATTTTTAAATGATTGCTAAAAATGAAATATTATATTGATAATTTTAAATAACAAACGTACTTTTTAAATAATTGGTGAATTTCTATATTATATAATTTCTTGTAAATACAGTTACTCTAAAAGACTTTGCAATATTTTACAACTTGTTCTGAAACGGATTTGAAATGTTATTATATTTTCAAATTAAATACATTATAATTATTCATTAAAACATCAAATAATATTTTAATGATGTTTTATAAAACAACATTTCTAAAATTGGTTGTAAAACTTTGATGACTAAAACGATAAAAAAAGCGATTTTTAAATGATGTATTTTTCAAAAAAGATGTTAATATTCGTTTATTGAACAAGAAATTGATACAATAACATCTGATAATATATTTATACTAATTATTTTTTTTGTGTTCAAATTATAATAAAATTTGCATTTTTTAATATTTGTCAGCGAAATTATAATTTGTCGAATTCTCTTATCTTCCCAAGTTTATTTTCTTTGTAACTTCCTGACTTTTATTTTATCAAATTGTTTTTTTGTGATAATATGAAGGAAAAATTGACAAAAGTTTTACAAAATTAAAATTTAAATCATACCAACAAAAAACAAGCTTAACTTCAAGTTATATAGTAAAAATTACTTTTCTAATTAGTTTTTGAATTAATATTTTAGATGTTTTTTTGTAAACAATTTGCGAAATCTTGTTATTTGTTTTATAACAAATCTAACTCGTAATAATTCGTTTTTAAAGACCGCTCAAAAAGTAAATTTAAAACATCCAATTATTTTATCTAATTTCACTTTTTAACTGTTACAAAAAGACTTATTGAAACCAAAACATCGTTCTTATTTTGTACATAGTTGGTCTTAATTAAAACTAAAGATAAATTTACTATTATATCATAAAACGTTGATTTACAAACTAGAAAATATCTATTTTCAAAAACCAAAAGTAGTTTGTAATTAAATCAATGTAAAACAATATTTTTGATAAATTATTTAAAGTTTTTTTTTCTTATTGGTTTTTGATTTTTTTAATTCATTTTACAAACTGAAAACGGCAAAAAATAACCGATTAAACAAATGTGAGTCTTTTTAAATTATAACAGATTTAATTCTACAGGATTTACATTAAAAATAAAAAATGGATTAACAATAAATGGTGTATTGCCAAGTTTTATTATTGTTTATTCTATTATTATTCATTATTAATATTCTTAAATAATAGTGAGTTGTCAAATTAGGAATCATGAAGACTATTTTTAACCAATTAAATGAATATTCAGAGTAAAGTATATTACAATCTTTTACTTTCGATCAATTCAACAATTTTATGAAAGAATTATTCTTTTTTAAAATCAAAACATTTATTTTTAATCAATTGAATCATTCCATCAAATTTAAATCGCCAAAAACTATCTAAAATAAATGATAGTGTTATTATTCATCGTCTTTTATGTTTCAAATAGTGCGAAGTCAATATGTATTAACGACTTTCTTGCGTTCAATTATGAAGATGACCAAACACCAGTTATCAAACGGTATGACTGTTATTTGGATTTACCTGACCCAATGGTAGTGAAAGGCATCAACAACCAAGCATTATGTTATATCAGTGAGCAGTTTATGTATATGACAAAAGACAATCACACTGTTAATCGGTGTGGAGAGTATTTACAACTCGTTGGGGCTTATCAAAAACAGGTTTATTGTATGATTGCCGGTTATATGAATGTGTATAAAGAAGGTGTGACTGAATCTCTTGAAGGAAAATACATCTCTGTCAACTCAAGAATATACAACCAACTCTCTCCAAAAACTAAAGCTAAAAACAATTATGCCTGTCAATTCACGTTTTATTATGTCTACTTGGATTTGATGATGAACCCTTCTCTTGTAATTGTCGAGAGGAAAAAGAATTCCAATATAGTACAAATCATTAATTGCAACCAAATTATGTTCCAAATCAGAATATTATCAGATACCATTGATGAAATGATATACGCCCAGAAAAATGGGCGTTTCGAAGTACCACATTATAAAGGCAATTACACACTGAGAGTCATTTCATTTGAAAACAACAAATTGGAACTTAGAGATATCAACTTAAACCAAGGTAATTCCTTTGAATTTAATTCAAAGTTTCCTTCAGAAAAAGACAAGACGTGTTATTATGTCGTCAACGATGACGTTTACTCCCCTGAAGAGAAAAATGAGTCTGTTTATTTCTTAAAATGGCACATTTTACAGCCAGATTATGCCATTAATCTTGTTCAAATGGAAAAGACTCCAGGTGGAATAATATTTGAGCCAACAGATATTGTCAACGGCAAAGGATTTATCTCCATTGGATATGTCTATATCACTGAAATGATGCTCGACCAAGACTTTACTCATGTGCAATTTGATATGGAAATGGAAGATACAACAGACTTTGAATTGATTCTGGCAGACTTGGTCTACAAAACAGATTTTGTCGAATTCACAAATACTTCTTTTGTGTTTGTAGATAAAGACTTGAAGACAAAATACTACAGAACTAACACAAGTGTGTCAATCTTAGCTTATTTCAAACCAGATAGAAAAGAATTTTCAAATGGAGGTTCAATCAAGTTTTTAATCAATAAAAATTCCTACATTCGATTACAAAGAATAAAACTGTTTAGATCAAGTCTTGCCAACAATCAATATATTTGCGACGCAAAGTCATTTGATTGTTTTGATACCGAATGCCAAATCACAAACGATTCATATCCACAAGGTACTAACACGATTTGGACCGAAAACTGTCGACCAGCTTGTGGGCCTTGCAGAGAAGGCTTTGTATGTACAACTGCCGGAAAGTGTATCAGAGAACCAAACAATAATTATAGAAGTGGTCAGATAAAAATACTCACAATTATACTCTCTATAGTAGTTCTTTGTGGACTGTAATTCATTTTTATTCTAAAAGTCTGTTTTATTT